GCCTGGACAAATCTTTCTTATGGTTTTGCCAGCTTTCTTTACTTGGGAACTTCTCTTTTTCTCTAGAGAAACTGTGCTTCCCACATTTGCATCCTTCTCCACAGTTCTGTTTAGTGACCTTCAAGAGAGAAGAGTCTGAGGTCCCCAATATCTAGGCCGCAGTGGATAAAGTCTGCGGTGCGGTGGGTGAGAGAGGGAACCTAAGGATGCACGAAATGCTCTTAGTCCTTATTGAGCACTACTGCTCTGGGAATTCTGGGAAACACTAGAACTTGCATGTCCCTTTCTTGAATTCCCCTGACCTCACTGGGGTGTCCCGTCTCATCCTTCACAGGGAATACGGGATCATTACCATTATCAGAATTATTTCTTCACCAGTTTTGGCCTTTGTCCCCCTTCTTTAAAGCAGGTGACTTTGTTCTTCACTCTAAGATGTCAGAATAACCTTCCTCATTCTTTTTCTCCTGTTTTCTCCTGTCGGTTTTAAATCCATCTCTCCATCCAGACTAAAGAAAATTGTGATACAAATCCTCTCCCTCCTCTGGTGGCACTGCCTCCGCAACCCCATTCTTTATCCATTATAGTTTTCAGGGTTCGCAGGGATATGGTCACCTTTTCAACCTAATTCCTCACCCTTCCCTCCGCCACATGTGCTTCAGCTACTGGCTATCAGACCGCTGCCCGTGCTGCGTCTTCCTCATGGTCTTTGCCCTCGATCGCTTCTCCGTCAAGAGAGCCCCTATTTAATACTTCTGTGTATTTTCTGGCCCACGGGTCTCTTCATCTAGGAATCTTCCCTGACTTTGTGTCTCCGGCCTACATTTGTGACTCCCCTCACTATCGCAGTCCCCGACTGCTTGATCTCACCATTTAAGAGAATTACGAAAACCTGTTTGTGCACCCATCTCTGACAGGCGGGCTCCCTGAGGGTAAAGACCATACCCACTGGCTGACACTAGCCTGGCCCAAAGAAGCCCTTCTTCCCGAATGGCTTTCCGGACTTCTTCAGTGAATGACAAACAGCTTCGTTCAATTCTTTACTTCCCAGCATGGCTCTACACAATTGCCCACTATGTTAAACACCAGCGACACAATGGACAAATTTAGTTAGTTAGTGCATAGGAAAGAGGAACGTGGAAGTGACAATAGACTGTATGCTTCACTTTGAGTCCTAACCTCTGGTCCTAGTGTAAAAGGTTCTAATATGTGGAATCTCGTTCTTTAGATAATCATTATTATTCATTTCGTGACCCACTTAAAATGTAATTGAGCCCTTGGCACCTCCAGCAGGGACTTTATAGAGAAATATCATTGTGGTCAATTTGAATTCCAAAAACCTAAGACCAAAATCTGCAGCAGCCTGACCCCTGTCTTTGTCCATGAAACAAGATGAATTCTCGTTACTGTCTCTCCAATCATTCCCATATCCATTTCCTTGCATATTTTCACTGCCTCGATCTTTTTATTTGGCATGAGGAAGCAATATTTCACAACCATAGCAATAAAACCACCCCCTCCCTCCTCAAGCACACTTACTTCTCAAACCTGGAAGATTGACACGGGCTCTGCACTGTTCCTCAGAGGAAGCAACATGCACCAGAGAAGACAGTCATGCTTCTGAGGTCAACGCCTTCTTTAACCATCCCTCGAAGCAGCAGAGAGCATAAAAATAATTTTAATACCACCCTCCATGGTCCTCATGAAATAAGTGACTCCTCTATAATGTCTTCAATAGGGTCCTGGAACTGGGGAACAAAATAACAAACGATTTTTACCATAAATTAATCTGATGGATACAGACAGATTTAAGTCCTCAGAGTATGCCACCAAGTTAGACAAAACAACATTGAATATAAAAATGTCAACGGTTAATTCAATGGAACAATGTTAACCACGTTGACTGAAACAATGGTTCTTTAGGACCTGCTGTAATTGTAAGAAGAGAGAAATGGAACCAGGTTGTTTACACATCCACCCAAAAGAATGAGGGTCAGACAGGAGGTGATTCTTAAAGTATCCCTGGGACGGTGGAGGGAGGGCCGATGGGCCAGTGTCTGCCTACCACAGACTCTCTTCTTTCCAGGCCTTGGGGGTCTTGGAAGCAGAGGAAAAAGACAGGGTGTCTTCTTTCACTCTCCTGTTTTCTCTCTCTCCTGGAAAGTGGATCTTCACATGTCTGAGGAGAGAACACAAAGGGGACCATGTCTCCTCATACAGGGATGAGAGCATTTAGCAGTTCCACATGAAAGAAAAAGGACTGAGAGATGGATGTGGAGGGACTTCTAGGAAGGGAATTAAAAGATGAAAATGTCCTCATTTATAATCCCAGAAATGTAACCGTGTGATAACTAATCCTTTGAATAATTGTTGGTACACTTGTCATTTTGCTGTTTCATCTCACTGCCATCTTCTGTTTGTGCCTCTGGGTAACTGGGGCAGAAAGTCAGAGATGTGTACGTAGGTATTTCAGACAAAGGCTGTGGAGAAGCCATTGCCGATGCTCCTCTGGGGAAAGATCCCAGGTGAGATGCAAGATCAAGAGAAAATAGGCTCAGTTGTTGGGACATGATAGGGGTCAACATTGGGAATGGGTGAGAAGAGGGCTGGCTACTTTATAGTCCTTTCCTGTCTCTCTTTTCCATCAATATCCTTATTTCCTCTCTCCATTGCCGAACCTGTTGTCGGTGAGAATTGCTAAAGGTTTTGGATAGTGGGCATCCACGGACTGTGTGATGAGCTGCTGGGATGAAATATTATTGGTTTGTAGGCTCATCCATTTATTAGTTCTACCACCAAACAAACAGAAAGAGTCCCCTTTGTAGGAAGAACTCAGCTAGTATTGAGCACCGAGGTGCTTGGGAATTGCCTAAGCAGGTGAGAGCCTGTGCCAAGTGTATAGTGACACATATGAATAAAGTGATGTATGTTAGGAAAGTTTTAGGCAGACAGAGAAGGCCCTGACACGTAGCAGAGACATAAGAGATTATGGCCACCTGGGCAAAGAAAAGCTCTCAGTATCGTCAGGATTTAGGATCAAAATAGAGAAGTGGTGAGAAATAAGGCAGGGCGGGGGTAAGAGTGGGACCTTGGCACACAAGGATTTGGCTGTTATCAGCTGGTGGCACAGAGGCATGTCAAGGCTTTAGGCAGGAGAGTGATATGATCCAATTCCATTTTGGAAATCTCAGGTGGGTGTGTGGAGGAATCAAAGGTGGAACTGCTGACTGGAAAGGAAACCCATGCAACAGACTGGGGAGAAATGAAATAGTTTCTTCCCCTCTAATGGAGTTGATGCTGTTAACACTCACAGCACACTCCAGGGAATTTCCAGATTCTTAGGTGTCTCCCACATACTCTCTCTTATTCGGTTCAATTAAAAAAAAACATCTAATGCAAAACAGCAAGCCACACTTACTGAAAGGAGAGAATTTAGAAACGTGTCCTGACAATTGGCTTAGAATAACACTCAAATGATTAGAAACCTCAGGAAATGATTGCAAGCTGTCCATCCCATAAAAAGCAGAAAAAAAAATTCATTCTTTCCTAAACAAATTAGGTATGAGACAGAATGTTTCATCACTCCAGACACTACCAGACATGGGGGGTTTTAATCTGAGATATACTTACATATAACAGTGTATTCGTGTCAGGTGTACAACACAATGATTTCATTTTTGTATAACTGGCAAAATGACCATCTCAATAAGTCTAGCTAACATCTTCCATCATACATCCTAAGAAAATATGTCTTGTGATCAAAACTTTCAAGATCTACTCTCTTAGTGACATTCAATATGCAAAAATTATTAACCACAGTTACCGGACCTTTAAATACATCCCTATAACCATTTAGTTCATAAGTGGAAGACTGTACCTTTGGATCCTGCCCTCCCCTCCCATTCAGTTCCTATCCCTAAGGAGGCTGACAGTGATGGCAGCCAGTGCCGGTCTCCTGCGTAGTTGGGGGCATTACCGAGCAAAAGGGTAGAAAAATAATAGTAACAGGGCAAAAGAGAACCCTGAAGGTCACTGTATGGGTTTAGGCACTTCCCTGTCCCAGGTTAGGAGACCCATTGGTCCGTGTCTGGTTACAGGACCCTTTGGACCTGAGGTGAAGAGAGTGAGAGGGTAGGTGTCTGTGAACGAGTCCCTGCATGTAGCCAGCCCATTCTAGGCATCACTGAACTGTGGGTGAAAATACGACCCTCATCCCTTCCAGTCATGTGTAGACCTCGATGCGATCTCTGTCTTCCCCCAGCATGTAATGAACGCCATCGATGGCATGGCTCAAAACTGTGTTTGTGAGCTTTGAAGTAGTATCTGAGGACACTGAAATGGTTTCAGCCTTGACATCCCCACTTTCCGTGGAAAATTTAACCAATCCCTTAACTTAAGAGACGAAGGCCCTGCTCCTACGAGGTGTTTCTGGCCTCTGGTGCATTAAGCCGGAAGCATACTGAACGTCGTTTATCATTCGGTGAAAATATATTTTTTTCTCTCCTTTCTTGTGAAATAAACCTACCTGCTACTCATCCTCCAACACGCTGTCCAGGTACCTGAGATAATTTCTCAAATTTTCTCACCATCGAGACATGGTTACCTGACCCTTTCATGAGTCCCAGACTAGGCAGAAAACCCAGATCAAGCTGCTGAGCTTCACCAGACCGCATGCCCCGCATTGTGTGAGAGCGAGTACAATCCATTTGACCTCTGAGCTCTGAGGCTGCTCTTAACTGCTCCGAAGTAATTCTAAGACAGAGGTTAAAAAAAAACAAACGACAACAGAAAGGGGTGGGTGACTGTCCCGGAGGATAATGGACCGTACTTAATCACCATTATGAAATGTCTCATGTAACAAATTACAGAATATAGTGTTGCTAATACTGTTATGCCTAGTTATTTACTTCAAGAAATTTAAAGAGTAGGAATAATCTGGAGTGTGCCCGGTGTCTATTTCATGTTATTTTCCTTCCTCCTCATCTAGCTGAGGTGTCATCCACATGGAAACAGGAAATCAAACAAGGGTTTCCCATTTCTTACTTCTGGGATTTTCCCAAGACTCAGAGCATCACCCCATCTTATTCTGTCTGTTCCTCTCCATGTACCTGGTCACCGTGCTCGGGAACCTGCTCATCATCCTGGCCGTCGCCTCAGACTCCCGTCTGCACACGCCCATGTACTTCTTCCTCTCCAACCTGTCCTTTGTTGACATCTGTTTCACCTCCACCACCGTCCCGAAGATGCTGGTGAACATCCACACACAGAGCCAAGCCATCTCCTATGCTGGATGCCTCATTCAACTGTATTTCTTTACAGTTTTTATTGGAATGGACAACTTCCTCCTGACCGTGATGGCCTATGACCGGTATGTGGCCATCTGCCACCCCCTGCACTACATGGTCATCATGAACCCACGCGTGTGTGGCCTCCTCGTTCTCTTGTGTTGGTTCATCATATCCTGGGCTTCTCTGGTTCATGTTGTACTGATGCGGAGGCTGACCTTCTGCCCAGGAACTAAAATTCCACACTTCCTCTGTGAACTGGCTGAGATGCTCCAGGTCGCCTGCTCAGACACCCTTGTCAATAACGTCTTCATGTATGTGACTGCTATCCTCCTGGGTGTGTTTCCTGTCACTGGAATTCTCTATTCTTACACTCAGATTGTGTCATCTTTGATGAGAATGTCCTCTGCAGGGGGGAAATATAGAGCATTTTCCACCTGTGGGTCTCACCTCTCTGTGGTCTCCTTGTTCTATGGGACAGGGATGGGGGTCTATCTCAGTTCTTCTGTGAGCCATTCTTCCCAGAGAAGTTTGGTGGCCTCAGTCATGTACACTGTGGTCACCCCCATGCTGAACCCCTTCATCTACAGCCTGAGGAACAAGGATGTGAAGGGGGCTCTGAGAAGGCTCGTAGAACTGGGTGTACATGGTGGGCCCCAAAGGTCAATGGTGCAAATTTAATTATTCTGGTTCATTTTCTTTCCCAAAAGGCATTTTTCATTCTCTGTATTTCCAAAGCACAGATGATTTCACATTTGTTAGTTCTTGAATTAGTTTCTTCTCAGCAACTCCATCAGCAACTTCTTTTGGACTCTCCTTCCCTACATGCTGACCACAATGCTCCATGTTTGGTTAGCATCCTGCACTGAATCTTAAGATTTCTAACATTATATATATATTTTTAGTATTTTTGTTTTTATTTTTTCAAATACATTTGTCTCTGCCTCCCCCTGACTACTTTGCCGTGCTCTTCCCCCCCTCCCTGTCTCAATCCTTTGCCTTTGGTTTTGTCCATGACCCCTTGCTACATGTTCCCCGACCCTCCTATTCCTTCCTTTTCCCCTGTCCCCCTCCTCCCTCCATCCCTCTTGTCTCTGTTCGTTTCTTTTCCTTTCAGTGTTGCTGGTCTTATTTCCTTGCATCTTTGTATTGTTGGTTAGGTTCCGCTTACAGGTGAGATCTAGTGGTATATGTCTTTGGCCCCCTGGTTTATTTCACTTTGCATAATGCTCTCTAGTTCCACCCATGCTGTCGCGAAGTTTAGTAGTTCTTTTTTTCTTTCTGCTGCATAGTGTTCCGTGTGTAAATGTACCATCGTTTTTCAATCCAATCATCTCCTTGTGTTAAATATACCATAGTTTTTTGAGGGGAATTAAGATTGCTTCCAACACTTGGCTATTGTAAATTGTGCTTCTATGAACATTGGTGTGCATAGGTGCTTTTGAATTGGTGTTTTGGAATTCTTAGGGTATAGTCCCTCTAACTTTATATTAAAAGCACTTGTCATATCAGGTGCTGGCATAGTTGTCTAAAGGTTGTCCTCATGAATTGTTGCACTTCGCCTTAATTTGGTTGTATGTTGGTTTTTTCCCCCCAGAAGAAATGGAGTGAAAATCATGCAGTAATCAGAACAAAGCGCTTCGAATATCAGGACTCTGCATGCTTCCTGACATGAATGACTGAATTTCATCTTAAATCACGTCTTTGAGATATTTTCTCTCATTCAGGTGCTCCTATGTTGGTTGTATAACTGTTTCAAAGGCTATTTCCTCATGTTAGACTGATCCATTTATCATTAAACAGTGTCCTTCTTTGTCTCATTTGCACTTTCCTGGTTTGTTGTTCGACGTCCTGTAAGTGTGTTTCCTGAAACGTATGATCCTTCAGGATCTTTTTAAAAATAAATTCCCAGGATCCATCAATGCAATGCCAGGTATATATCCAAAAGGACTGGAAGTAGAAACTCAAATAGATACTGAGAAGCCAGTTTTGCTAGGAGCAAGCACCAAATTATGGAAACAACCTAAGTGTTCAACAACAGATGAATGCATAACCAAAGCGAGATGTGTATTCAATGGGATATTAGGCAGCCTTTTAGAAGGAATGAAACTCTGATACATGCGAAACATGGGTGAAACTTGAAAACATTCTGTTAAGTGAGATGAGCCTGACACAAAAGGATCAGCGTTGTGTGAGTCCGCTTACACGAGGTACTGAAAATAAGTAAATTCATAGAGGCCGAAAGGAAAATAGAGGTTCCCAGGGCTGGGGAAAGAGATGTGTGCTGAGCTGTTGTTGAATGGTACAGAGCTTCTGTCTGGGGTGATGAAAAAGCTCTGGAAACAGTGTGATGGTATCATGATTTTGTGACTATGCTTAATGCCACAAAATGATATTTTCCAAATGGCTAAATGGCATATATGTGTATATATATAAAAATATAAAAAATAAAATAAAATCGAATCATTGCAATTTCTTTTAAATGTAGATTTCGGGCTCTCCGGCTAGAGATGTTGCCTAGATGAGTCTGTGATAAGTATGTCGCTGGGAAGATATACATTCACACAAGCTTCAGTTTACCGTTTTGAGGAAGATAAAATTATGAAACATTACTCCAAAGAAATGAGTCTCAATGGATTGTCAAAGGGTTCCAAACAAAATTTGGAACGTGTGAAAATTCCAAATTACCAAATCCAAATCAAGCCTACAGAGGCAGTAATTGGAGGAAGAGACCCTGAAATCTGTTCTAGCACATCCGCAAAGTCACCTTGGTGCAGGCTAAGGTTTGAGAACCGTGCCCTAGTGAATCCTGGGGCCATTTCCTCCTCAACCATCGATCCAATGAGGAAACTACAAGTCAGGGAACAATGACACTTGCTCCTGAGATGAGATCCAAGGAAGACTACAGGGATCTCTCCCAGAAGAAGTGGATCCCAGGAGAAAAGAGTCACCGCTGGTCCCAGTGTTGGTCACCCAGGGATACAGAGTTGGCAAGAGAGAGAGAGCCCTTCCTTTGTGAGCCCGCCCCTGAGGAGTGTCCTGACCAGGGAATCAAAGGGCCATTGATCACTTTGTCTAACAAGTTTCAGAGGGGATTCTGTCCCCAGGGCCACATAACCTGTAACATAATAACTTACAGTCACCGAGGCTCTCCTGTGCCAGACCCAACACACTCATGCCTTCTCCAGCGGATGCAGCCAGGTCCCAGCCCACATGCCTGGCTCTGCTCCCTTGCTCTTATGGAGGACAGACCTTCCTGTATCATCACCCACCGTGCATGAACGACAGGATTCACACTCTCAAGCCACAGAGCCCAGTAAGTTTTATGGGAAATAAGAAAAAGAGGTGGTGGAAGGAGTAGGGTATTGCCTACTGTTCAGCACAGGAGAAGGGAGACCCAACCCTGTTCGTGGAGAATAAGCTCAAGGGGTCACTTGCTGGGAGGGTGAATGACTAGACTCCTTGCTTGAAGTTGCCACTGCATGATGAGGTTTTACTTCAGTTATATGTCACTTGGTTAGAAGAGCAATGGAAATTGTGGGACTGGGGTGGAACAGGCTGATAACCCGGATCCCACAAACACCATGGCACTTGCCAGAGCCACACTGTAGAGGGGGACAGTCAGTAGTCTTTGGTGTGCAAAAGGATGCCCCCAGGTGCTGTGAGAGCTTTAGGTCACTTATAGGGAAGTCATATTCTCTTTTTATTCTTTTCCCTCGTTACCTGGCCCAAGGGCTCCAGAGCCTCTATCTTCACTCAGCCTGGACAAATCTTTCTTATGGTTTTGCCAGCTTTCTTTACTTGGGAACTTCTCTTTTTCTCTAGAGAAACTGTGCTTCCCACATTTGCATCCTTCTCCACAGTTCTGTTTAGTGACCTTCAAGAGAGAAGGGTCTGAGGTCCCCAATATCTAGGCCGCAGTGGATAAAGTCTGCGGTGCGGTGGGTGAGAGAGGGAACCTAAGGATGCACGAAATCCTCCTCGTCCTTACTGAGATCTTACACTACTGCTCTGGGAACTCTGGGAAACACTAGAACTTGCATGTCCCTTTCTTGAAATCCCCTGGACACACTTGGGCGTTCAGTCTTATCCTTAATAAGGAATATGGAATCATTAGCAAGCTCAGAATTATTTCTTCACCAGCTTTGGCCTTTGTTCCTCTTCTTTAAAGCAAGTGACTTTGTTCTTCGCTCTATGATGTAGGAATTCCCTACCCCATTCTCTTTGTCCTCAGTTTTGTCTGCTTTAAATCCATCTCTCCATCCAGACCAAAGGAAATTGTGATACAAATCATCTCCCTCCTTTGGTGGCACTGCCTCCGCAACCCCATTCTTTATCCATTATAGTTTTCAGGGTTCGCAGGGATATGGTCACCTTTTCAACCTAATTCCTCACCCTTCCCTCCGCCACATGTGCTTCAGCTACTGGCTATCAGACCGCTGCCCGTGCTGCGTCTTCCTCATGGTCTTTGCCCTCGATCGCTTCTCCGTCAAGAGAGCCCCTATTTAATACTTCTGTGTATTTTCTGGCCCACGGGTCTCTTCATCTAGGAATCTTCCCTGACTTTGTGTCTCCGGCCTACATTTGTGACTCCCCTCACTATCGCAGTCCCCGACTGCTTGATCTCACCATTTAAGAGAATTACGAAAACCTGTTTGCGCACCCATCTCTGACAGGCGGGCTCCCTGAGGGTAAAGACCATACCCACTGGCTGACACTAGCCTGGCCCAAAGAAGCCCTTCTTCCCGAATGGCTTTCCGGACTTCTTCAGTGAATGACAAACAGCTTCGTTCAATTCTTTACTTCCCAGCATGGCTCTACACAATTGCCCACTATGTTAAACACCAGCGACACAATGGACAAATTTAGTTAGTTAGTGCTTAGGAAAGAGGAATGTGGAAGTGACAATAGACTGTATGCTTCACTTTGAGTCCTAACCTCTGGTCCTAGTGTAAACGGTTCTAATATGTGGGAAATCTCTTTCTTAAGGTGATCATGACATTGTTCATTTCATGACCTGTTTAAATAGTAATTCAGCTGTTTTTGCACCTCAGCTGTGACTTTATAGAGAAAAATCATTGTGGTCAATCTGAATTCCAAAAACCTAAGAAGAAACTCTGCAGCAACCAGATCCCTGTCTTTGACATGAAACAAGATGAATTAGCATTATTGTCTCTCCATCATCTCCATATCCTTTTCATTGCATATTTTGACTGCCTCAGTCTTTTTATTTGGCATGAGGAAGCAATATTTGACAATTCTAGCAATAAAACCACTCCTCCCTCTTCAAGCACACTTACTTCTCAAACCTGGAAGATCTGCATGGGCTCTGCACTGTTCCTCAGAGGAAGCAACATGCACCTGGGAAGAAGGGCCAGCTTCCCAGGCCGATGCCTCCTTTAACCATCTGTCCAAGCAGTAAAGGGTTGAAAACAATTTTAATACCACCATCCATGGTCCTTGTGAAATACCCTCAGTCCATCTTAATGTCTTCAATAGGGTACAGGAACTGAGGAACAAAATAACAAACCATTTTTACTCTAAATTAATCTGATGGATACAAACAGATTTATGTCCCCAGAGTATGCCACCAATTTAGACAAAACAACATTGAAAAAAAAATGTCAGCAGTGTTGAATAGAACAATGTTAACCACATTAACTGAACGATGTTTCTTTATGACCTGCTGTACTTGTAAGAAGAGAGAAATTGGACCAGGCTGTTTACACACCAGCCCAAAAAAATGAGGGTCAGACACGAGGTGATGCTTAAAGTAGCACTGGGACAGGTAAGGAGAGCCGTTGGCCCAGTGTCTGGCTACCGCAGACTCTTCTTTCTGGGCCTTGGGGGTCTTGGAAGCAGAGGAAAAAGAGGAGGTGTCTTCACTCACTTTCCTGTTTTCTCTCTGTCCTGGAAAGTGGATCTTCACATGTCTGAGGAGAACACACAAAGCGGGCCATGTCTCCTCATACGCGATGAGAGCATTTAGCAGTTCCACATGCAAGAAAGGGACTGAGAGATGGATGTGGAGGGACTTCTAGGAAGGGAATTAAAAGGTGATGAATGCCCTCCTTTCTAATCCCAGAAATGTAACCGTGTGATAACTAATCCTTTGAGTAATTGTTGGTACACTTGTCATTACTCTGTTTTGTCTCACAGTCATCTTCTGTTTGTGCCTCTGGGTAACTGGGACAGAAAGTCAGAGATGTGTATGTAGGTATTTCAGTGAAAGGCTGTAGAGAAGCCATTGCTGATGCTCCTCTGGGGAAAGATCCCAGGTAAGATGAAAGATGAAGAGAAAATAGGCTCAGTTGTTGGGACCTGATAGAGGTCAACATTGGGAATGGGTGTGGCCCAAGACTGAGAAGAGAACCTGGCTACTTTATATTCCATTTTTGCTCTCTTTTCCATCAATATCCTTATATCTTCTCTCCATTGAGGAACCTGTTGTTGGAGAAAAGTGCTCAAGGTTTTGGATAGTGGCCACCCACGGACTATGTAATGAGCTGCTGGGATGAAATATTATTGGTTTGTAGGCTCATCCATTTATTAGTTCTACCACCAAACCAACAGAAGGAGTCCCCTTTGTAGGAAGAACTCAGCTAGTATTGAGCACCGAGGTGCTTGGGAATTGCCTAAGCAGGTGAGAGCCTGTGCCAAGTGTATAGTGGCACGTATGAATAAAGTGATGTATGTTAGGAAAGTTTTAGGCAGACAGAGAAGGCCCTGACACATAGCAGAGACATAAGAGATTATGGCCACCTGGGCAAAGAAAAGCTCTCAGTATCGTCAGGATTTAGGATCAAAATAGAGAAGTGGTGAGAAATAAGGCAGGGCGGGGGTAAGAGTGGAACCTTGGCACACAAGGATTTGGCTGTTATCAGCTGGTGGCATAGAGGCATGTCAAAGGCTTTAGGCAGGAGAGTGATATGATCCAATTCCATTTTGGAAATCTCAGGTGGCTGTGTGGAGGAATCAAAGGTGGAACTGCTGACTGGAAAGGAAACCCATGCAACAGACTGGGGAGAAATGAAATAGTTTCTTCCCCTCTAATGGAGTTGATGCTGTTAACACTCACAGCACACTCCAGGGAATTTCCAGATTCTTAGGTGTCTCCCACATTCTCCTATTTGGCACAATAAAAAAAAAAAAAAAAAAATCCAATACAGGACAGCAAGCCACACTTACTGAAAGGAGAGAATTTAGAAACGTGTCCTGACAATTGGCTTAGAATAACACTCAAATGATTAGAAACCTCAGGATATGATTGCAAACTGTCCATCCCATAAAAAGTAAGAAAAGATATTCATCCATTCCTAAGCAAAATAGGTATGAGATGGAAAGTTTCATCATTCCAGACACTACCAGACATGGGGGTTTTTAATCTGAGATATATTGACATATAACAGTGTATTGAGGTCAGGTGTACAACACAATGATTTCATTTTTGTATAATTGGCAAAATGATCATCTCAATAAGTCTAGCTAACATCTTCCATCATACATCCTAAGAAAATATGTCTTGTGATCAAAACTTTCAGATCTACTCTGTTGGTGATATTGAATACGTAAAACAGTATTATACACAGTTACCAGGCCTTTAAATACATCCCTATGACCATTTAGTTCATAAGTGGAAGACTGTACCTTTGGATCCTGCCTTCCCCTCCCATTCGGTTTCTATCCCTAAGGAGGCTGACAGTGATGGCAGCCAGTGCCGGTCTCCTGTGTAGTTGGGGGCATTACCGAGCAAAAGGGTAGAAAAATAATAGTAACAGGGCAAAAGAGAACCCTGAAGGTCACTGTATGGGTTTAGGCACTTCCCTGTCCCAGGTTAGGAGACCCATTGGTCCGTGTCTGGTTACAGGACCCTTTGGACCTGAGGTGAAGAGAGTGAGAGGGTAGGTGGCCGTGAATGAGTCCCCGCACGTGGCCAGCCCATTATAGGCATCACTGAACTGTGGGTGCAAATACGACCCTCATCCCTTCCAGTCATGTGTAGACCTCGATGAGATCTCTGTTTTCCCCCAGCATGTAATGAACGCCATCGATGGCATGACTCAAAACTGTGTTTGTGACCTTTGAAGTAGTATCTGAGGGCACTGAAATGGTTTCAGGCTTGACATCCCCACTTTCCGTGGAAAATTTAACCAATCCCTTAACTTAAGAGACGAAGGCCCTGCTCCTACGAGGTGTTTCTGGCCTCTGGTGCATTAAGCCGGAAGCATACTGAACGTCATTTATCATTCGGTGAAAATATATTTTTTTCTCTCCTTTCCTGCGGAAGAAGCCTACCTGCTACTCATCCTCCAATATTCTGTCCAGGTACTTGAGATATTTTCTCAAATTTCCTCACCACCAAGACATGGTCACCTGACCCTTTCATGAGTCTCAGACTAGGCAGAAAACCCAGATCAAGCTGCTGAGCTTCACCAGACCACATGCCCCGCATTGTGTGAGAGCAAGTACAATCCATTTGACCTCTGAGCTCCAAGGCTGCTCTTAGCTGCTCAGAATTCTAAGACAGAGATTTAAGAAAAAAGTTGAGTAACTGTCCCAGAGGATTATGGACCGTAGTTAATCAACATTGAAATGGTGCATGTAACGGATAACAGGATATAGCATTCCTAATTCTGTAATGCCTAGTTATTTACTTCAAGAAATTCAAAGAGTAGGAAAAACGGGATGTGCCTAGTCTATATTTCATATTATTTTCCTTCCTCCTCGTCTAGCTGAAGTGTCATCCACATGGAAACAGGAAATCAAACAAGGGTTTCCCATTTCTTACTTCTGGGATTTTCCCAATACTCAGAGCATAGGTCCATCTTATTCTGTCTGTTCGTCTCCATGTACCTCGTCACCGTGCTCGGGAACCTGCTCATCATCCTGGCCGTCGCCTCAGATCCCCGTCTGCACACGCCCATGTACTTCTTCCTCTCCAACCTGTCCTTTGTCGATATCTGTTTCACGTCCACCACCGTCCCGAGGATGCTGGTGAACATCCACACACAGAGCCAGGCCATCTCCTATGCTGGATGCCTCATTCAGCTGTATTTCTTTTCAGTTTTTATTTCAATGGACAACTTCCTCCTGACCGTGATGGCCTATGACCGATATGTGGCCATCTGCCACCCCCTGCACTACATGGTCATCATGAACCCACGCGTGTGTGGCCTGCTTGTTCTCTTGTGTTGGTTCATCATATCCTGGGATTCCCTGGCTCATGTTCTACTGATGAGGAGGCTGACGTTCTGCCCAGGAACTAAAATTCCACACTTCCTCTGTGAACTGGCTCAGATGCTCCAGGTCGCCTGCTCAGACGCCCTTGTCAATAACGTCTTCATGTATGTGATGACTGCCCTACTGGGTGTGTTTCCTGTCACTGGAATTCTGTATTCTTATTCTCAGATTGTCTCCTCTTTGATGAGAATGTCCTCTGCAGGGGGGAAATATAGAGCATTTTCCACCTGTGGGTCTCACCTCTCTGTGGTCTCCTTATTCTATACGAC